GGCTTCGTTCTACCCCAGCGACCAGAAACCGGAGTGTCGGCGCAATGATTCCACGACACTTCTATGCCCACTTTGATAGTACATACACAACTATTCCCTTTTTTACTGTTTTTTGACTCTTTTTGACTGTGCTCTCCAGTTTCGTCATCTGTGACTACGAACAAGCTCTTTAACCTGTCCCAACCGTATCCGGGACGCGTTCATTCTAATTTACTGAAACTGTGGTTTGGATTGAACCATCTCGATGGACCTCCGGTTTGTACACCCCACAAAAACAATTCTTTCTGTACAATTTGCGTCCCGTCTTGTGGGTTGGCACCAACTGACTCTTCCACTGAGCTTATACATCCGACTGCACCTCAGCAGCTTCAACGGTAAGTTTCTGCAGTTTCGCAGCTCACTGTGATTATGGATTCCTGACAACACTCAAATATATTGCTAATTCATCCGCTTCATCATCCTCACTTACGCTCTTCGTGACCCTGGCTATAAGCCCAACAGTCGAAGGCCACAAATCGTCAGCCGTTGTTCTACGTATTAGCCAAAAATGATCGGCCTGATCAAGTCAATTCTGCTTCTTCGCTAGTCCTCTTGTAATGGCCCCTCGTTTTCCGCAATTTGCACAACCAGGCTGGACGCCCCGAACTTGACGCTCCTTTGTTCTGTTTTTGATTTCCACCTTTAAATCTCAATGATATGATGTTTCTCCAGCTTGGTATGTTTCCTAAAGAAAGAAAAAGCTCTGGCAAACGGTTTTTTCAGCGCGTACCGTTTTATGCGTGACTGCGCCTATATCGGACAATGCCTAATATTTTTGTCACCCTTTCTACGCGCAATTTAACTGCCGGTTATGCTTTTATTCTGATCGTAACATTATGATCATGCCTGGCGGTATACCACCTACCGATTATGGATTAACACTGATATAATCCGGCTGCAGCTAACGACTAACTTGCGACTATTTGTCCACAATTCCCGGTTGACCGGAAGACAAATGCCCACTTCTCTCGACTGGTAAAAGTAGATGAAAGCTGAATTTCATTGGTTGTTTTGGTTAGTACATGAGTCCTGCCGAGAGGAGCACGACATTCCTGGTGCGGTTGCTCATTGAGCTTGTAGGAATCCATTTTCCTACATACTTAGAGAGGCAGTTCATACACATGGATCATGGAACTTGCTTCTAGTCCTAAACGCACAAATCACACCAAACAATCAAGGCTCATTTGGGGCTTCGATTATTTCTACCGCCTGGCGCGATTCGGAACAATCAACATGCACACATACACCGCAAATGCGCCTGCACATAAAAAAAAACGAATAAAGTTTAGAAAATCACTACGCATTCCACTTCATGCAACTCGGTGTCTAGCCACGCAGAAATTACGGAGAGCTATTTGTGAACACCCTCTCTTCACAGTGCAAACAATGAATTGGCACGCAACTTGGCTGACCACACGCGCGCGCGCTCAGAGAACGGAAGGTTAGTCGAGCGCGTAAGTATACAGGGACAACTACGGAGCACGCATAGAAGCTGGACTGCAGATAAAACACGACTCAGTTCCAAAGCTTCGCTCAGGAACTCTCAACAATTGCCCTAAAACGATAAGTCATGTTTTGCTTGTTCCACTTTTTGCATTGCATATATATTTTCTCATCATCATTCAAATGAACTTATTAAATCCCTTCACCTTCTGATAAAATTTTTATGTTACATCCAGGGCCCCAATGAGATATTGACTTCCTGGAATGATAGGAAAATATCAGTTGGATTATCGAAATATCAGTGCGACGCAGGCGGCTGACCAACTGAAAGCAAAGCTCACTCTACGAAAGAAACACTTCAGCGGTAACAACCTCGTATAGGCCTGTTTACACAGCGCCATCTGCAAAGGCTGATTCACGTTGCGTTATTTCTCGAAGCTTAGTGCCCACTGAATGAAGGGCCTAAAGGAAAACAAGACCAACCTGAAATGCACGATGCCTCATGAACGGACAAGCAGTCTGGAACTTATGGGCCTCGTATGAGTCGCACAAAATCATAGTCGTCTCTCTCCTCTAACTGGCGCTCTACAGCATTTTACTGGTAATAATAATGATGCTTCATTTATTATTCAACTTGAGGGGGGACATGCCAGCTGAGGCATGCTCGGGTCATTGCAACTTGAACGAGGCAGGTTACAACACAGTGGGGATGACGGTACAGCCAACGAGACATGCTCATTACTTGAAAGGCCGGCACGGGTGTGGGAACCAAAAACAAGGACAATGAGCATAAAGTACCACTAGTACAATGCTGAAGCTGCTTAAAATGAACTGAAATTTAGTACTGGCCATGAGTGACCTTGGACATTTGATTCACGGATTCAAGGATTGATACACAGGCTTGGACATTTCACGGATTCAAGGATTGATACACAGGATCGAGGCTTTTCCCCAAGTTTCCCGGGTCGCTTTTGTTCTTGTCGGTCAGTGAGTGGCGTTCGCCTGAAAAGTGCAAGTGAAAAAAGGGTGTAGCACTGCTCTTTATGTTCTCAGCGCGGGGCAGTATGCATGCCAGCGCGAGGATTCGCATAAATAAATGTCTAATAGTGCTTTAAATTGGGTTCTAGAAGGAGCGTGCACAACCGTCGGAGGAAGGTCATTCCACGCACCTACTACCCGAAATGAAACAATTTGTCCAATGAATGTGTGTGCCCTGAGCTTGAAAATTTTCTTACTATGTCCCCGTCGGCTGTTTGCTGGGTCAACGGTAAAAACCTGTTTGCCAAGCTTTGTTCAGACATGCATAAGTAGGAATTAGGTCCCCTCCAGGGGAACGAGATCAAACATCGCGAGACGCGTTTCGTATCCCACGGATTTGAGGCAGGCAACCATTCTCGCGGCGGCCCGCTGGACACGCT